CAAAGGGGGGGGGGGGGGGGGGGGTACTCATAGTCGTGCATGCCGTAGTCGTTTGACCATTGACCTCGCATCCCTACAAAGCCGGGACGGAGCACGCCGGGTTCTCACCGGACCAGGCTCTCACATGACCAGGCGCGAAGCGCCGTGAGGTATTCGGCGAGTCGCATGAAGGGTGAGCTGCATCCTGCTAAGAGTGTTCGGCATCTTGTGCTTACTTCCTTGCGTACGGATGACAGCTACGTATGACTTCATTTATTTTCTGGTGCTTTCACTTCCAGAGACAGTTATAAGCACTGTGTAACTGCCTCGAAGATGCTTGACCATTTTAACACAACGTGGTGCGATCATCCCCCGTTGCGCGGAGTGAGGGTTCTCCTCCCCGCACAACATGATCTACTCGACCACCATTATGGTTACCGCAAAAAAAAAAAACGAGGTAAAAAAAATAACGGTAACCTAGTTGCCGAGTTCACGAAGTGAATTGGCTTGTTCTACAATGTCGTTGCCAAGCGACGAAAACCCAATCCCGATGGCAAACACCGAGGGGGGGGCATGTTTTACAACGTCGTTGCCAAGCGACGAAAACCCAACCCCGATGGCAAACACCGGGGGGGGTTACTCATTCTCGTGCATGCTGTAGTCGTTAGGCCATTGACGTCGCATCCTTACAAAGCCGGGACGAAGCACACCGGGTTTTCACCCGGACCAGGGTATTTATCCCAACCTCGGGATGCGATCAGTTTCCCTTCCCAAGACTGTTGCATCTTTGGGGACCGAAATGGAGGACCACCGCGGCTCCTGTGAGCCACAGTACTTCCAGATTTCCGAGTGATCGTCAGGTTTCACCGTCCATTTGCCTATCATAGAAGGCGGGAGTGGGTGCTCATGAGTGTTCATCCTGTAGGTTGTTGACCACAGCCACGGACTTGGGATGCATGCAAAGCTGAGCAGGAGAACATCGAAATATCGGGGGTGAGGGAGGGGGGAAGTAGTCAGCGCTTCGGCGCTGCACCAAAAAGCACAAAAACGTTTCTTGGGCATCGCCTTAAGCCCACGGGAAGCCGCCGACGCAGAATGTGCCTGCCGCCGACAATAACAACCAATCGCGCCGTTCGTTTTCGGTGCATCCTACGGGGCCCCCACAAAAACATCCACCAACACCCCTACCACATCCAGTCTGCTTTGGTCTGCTGGCCTACATGCACGTTGTCTCCGTCTGCTCCATAGGTCAAAAATGTCCCAAGTACAACGTAGAACCTACATCAACTGGTTGGACAACTTCCGGAACCTTGGGACGCCCGGTCCTCCTACTACTGCTGGGGATGGCACTCGCAATAGGTTCCGAAGGATTCGGTTCTTCGTGTTGCAATCCGGTGTACAAAGAAAAGTTCCCGGGGTTTTACATCTCTCCATCCCTCGTTCTCTGTCTGTCTGTGCCTCTGCCTCTGCCTCTGCCTCTGCCTCTGTATCTCTGTATCTCTGTATCTATCTCTCGCTCCCTCCCTTCCTCTCTCTTCCCTCCCTCTTCCCTCCATCTCCCCTTCTCATGACTGCTATGTCGGCACGCGCTAAGTCAACGTTGCTCGCACCTTGCAGACGCACCGCACTCCTCTGGAGGTGCCAAAACTCCCGTTGCGCCTGTTGGAGCGGTTCTGGATCAGGCTGTAGGCGTAGGCCGTCGTCTCGAGAGCACCGTTCGACAGCAAGGAGGCGTTGCCAGCGGGACCACGAGGCAAACGGAGAGCGGAAGTGGCCGTTTTGGCCGCACACACCAACAGCATCTCGTACCTGAAACAAAAACAAAGTGGACCGTCACACCGCAAATTGGAGGAACCCAACGATGGTTCATAGCTCCCACGTAAAGAGTGGACCGGAACCTTCGTAGAATGATATCAACAAGCGGTAGTCGAAGAATCATGACAAAAGCACATCGCCAGTTCGCGGAGCATGGACTGCCTGCCTAACGACCCCGTGACCACTCCGAGAAAGCTTGAACACAGTGGTGTTCCTGTTTCACACGTAGGTAGACCTTGGCCAAATCGCATTATCAACCGACTTTACATCGCTTTCTGACGCCAAGGTGGGGTGCCCTGAAGGGGTAATCTGTTCATTACAAACGCTGAAAGTGAACCTTGAAGGAAGCATAAGTTCGGCGCGTACATGGAGGTACATAAGTCCGTCTGCCAAAAACCGTGCACGTACGTTTCGTTTGCGAACCTTTCGTCTCAAGCGTGAAATCACAGCTGCCGCCTCAGAAATTGAGAGGGCGCGGTGTTTTTCAGGGGTTAGGGTTGGCTTGTCAACGCCTTGTGGGCAGAACAAAATGTTCATCTCAAGGCACGGTGGGATGCGGTGTGTTCAATGGCCGGGCGAGACGAGAAATCCACCGCTACAGCAATGTAGCGCAAGTGTAGGATGTTGCACCCAAGACCCACAAGCTGACCCTCCCTCCAAAAGCACGCAATCACGTAGCACGATCCACTTCGAAAGTAAACATTGGTGTCCTCGATTACGACAAGAGGCGTAGCTCAGCAGCAGCGGCGGCCAAAACACGCATGCGAACAAGTAGAATTGTGCTCCAACGCACAAAAATAACACGGCGCGTGTGTTTTCCAGAAAAAGGCGAAATGCGGTCTGGCGAGCAGGAACAAAACTCACACGTTGAGCAGCACGGTGTTCCTGGAGTTGATCCCGAGGTGCTCCCCCTCGTCGAGCATGAGGGCGTGGCACTTGGGCGACAGGAACCGCTTCATCTTGCCCACCAGGCACGCGCCGGCGCGCCTCGAGTCCACCGTCAACGACTCCGCCACCCCGGCCTTCGAGTACCTGGACGACGGGGCGGGTGGCGATGTCAACGGTCGCGGTGGGCGATGGCGGGAGAGCGGGTGATACCAGCATTCGTAGTACCAACATCAGCGCAACACCCAGAACAAATCAGCGACGGCTTGTATGTCTTTCACCGCTTCAACAGTGGCTTCGAGGCTGTGTTTAGCTCTGTCCCATGAAAATTTTGTGCGCGATGGGCCTATCACATCACAAGGGAGAGGTGGATGAAACCCTACTTCTCCTTCGAGTGTGCCGGCGAACCTTCCACAAGGCGGTAACCCTCCCTTTGAATGAGAGGCTTGCTCTTTCGCGGTTACAACGCCGCAAATGCGCCTGCAGTTAGGGTCCCTGTTTACTGTGCCGGTACACATGTGTCCAGAAGATTTACCCGCACTATACCGGACCGGCACTGTTCCAAAGTACTGACAATGACTTAGAAATTCAGTGTTTGCCCGCCGACAACAACGCCAGTATCCCGGGCATTGACGCTATTCAACCGTCACTAAACAGGAACCCCCATTGTATTGCAAGAGAGCAGTCAAAATGAATCTAGCCAACTCGGCTGTGATCACGTTCTTCCGGCCAGCGTTGGCGGCCTCCGGAACAAGCCGTGGCGTGTGCACTGCTGTGTACCTGGAGTAGTTGGCCATGACTTCGCACGTTCGGGTGTCGAAGCGCACGCCGCACCAGGGGAACATGTCGCCTTCGACCCGTCGTACCTGACACGAGACGGCAGGGTGAACCGCAGCCAACAGACCGCGGGAGATTGTCGCGTACCCCCCTGGTGGTTCACGTTGTGGTTTGTTTCCTCCGCGGGGCCTCGACGGAATGATATCGTGCCATGTACACAGCGTACGGCTGAGAGGGGATGTATCCATCGAACGCGAAACTGCCACGCCGTCGATGCGCGCGTGTGTGCAAGTCACAAGACAGCAATGGAACGAAATCGTCGCCAGCTCAACATTGCTGGTCAGCGTGACATCGGGCTTGGAGACATAACCCCAGCAAAATAAACAAAAAATAGTGGCACCAAACCCAGCAAAACATACAAAAAATATAGTGGCACTTGCAGCGGGATACGCATGTAGGGAGAGTAATCTGAAACAGGAACGTGTTTCTCGTTGGACTCGCAATGCTGGCACTTCGTAGGGTACAAATAATGCCGCGCACTTTCCACTTTCTCTCTCAACAAAGCAGCGCTGGTTCTGGGCTTCGCGTCTACTATTCAAAGGCGACCAGCCTAAACTGAAGCATCCACCTGTCTCCGAACGGACGGTTGTCCTGGCCCGCCTCCTCCCTTTCTGCTCTCCAAGACCATGTCGAAGTTTACCAGCGTCTGGACAGGCGATGACGAGGAAAATAAAAGAACTTTAAACAAAAAACAATGAGGTGCTTACCGGGTGTCAGGTGATGCGCCCCGCACCGAAAAAAGTCATACCCCACTTGGTTCCGAAAATACGAAAATACCCGGGGCGTGCCCCATTGTGTCGATTTCCCCTATGGGAAACAAAAAAGAACTTCCGGCCACTTCCGGCCACCTGGACCCAATAACACCTACGGACTTAAACCAGGTTAGCTAAGGAAGAACCTTAATATCTTCTTCCATCTACGCGAGATGTGAATTTACTGTATCTTTCTCTACCGGTTAGGGTAGTGCGGCAGAGGAGGGTACTGCTTAGGGATCAAAGCGTTCATCAATATGGGGACAACAGCAGCATCAACGACGACGACAACCACAACCCTCGCCGACAATTTTCAAAAGCGCGCGAACTCCTGTCTAAGTTTAGACACGTGGTATAAATATAAACTGGAGAGAATGATCCTCAAGTCAACCGGACAGGGGGCTCATCGCGTCACCTTCGCTTGGTGCACACTAAAGCCCCAGTCTCCCGTCTTGACCTCGTCGTGCATCACCCTTACGAAGGACTCGGCCTTAGCCTTGCTCGTAGAGATCTGGGCGGCCCCGCGAGAGGAAGACGCAATAGAGAGGTTGACGCATCACCTCTCGTAAATATCGCTTGTCACCAAAGGCATTTGTTTTCAAGTATTGGCATGTGTTGTTGAATCCGTCGGCGGTGCTTGCAACTTCAAGTTCAGCAGTTCTTTCCGTCGGTTTTGTGTCACACATGTCATCGCTTTTTTCACAATGTTTTCACGCCAAAGACATTCGAACCCAACACCTAGGAAAGCCAGAAGGCTCCGAGGTTGCACCGTA